TACCGTACACACAGCACATTTATAAACACTTGTCTCTCCCTATGGCAGCCCGCTAAATTATTCAGGAAAGCATAGAGACGATTATCCTATGTAGCTTTTAAACCGTGCCAGCCATGACTCCACTTAGCAAGGCCGAACACCTAAACAACTGGCGTGCGTGTGATTACACACTGCGGTCGAGTCTATGCAAAACACTATACATCAGCTGACAGCAAGCAGGAAAATTCAATAAGCGCATTTAACCTTCTGTATAACAAGTTCAACTCTTAAATGTGTTAATTACAGGCTGTTTACGGGAGTATGTTAAGGTCTCCAATTATTCAGGCTCTGCCACAGATGTTTGCTCAGAAACAATTTTGCCTTTGTTATAATTAAGGGGAAAATCCAAAGAAAGGTGCATTGCCTCTGATAGCTATTATAAAAACGCAAGGAGGGGAAAAAAAAAGGAGGAAAAAAAAAAAGTCCCAGATAAGCTGGAAATGAAATAATTAAGATTTGGAGTGTACAGCACGCCTTAGGGAGGATAGAGATGGCCAGGCAAAGCCCTGGCTTTTTTGCTGGATTTGACTTGTGCTGGCTGCAGATAAAGCTGGGAATTTAGATACATAGGCAGGAGCTCTGACAGAGACTCTGGGGTTGGGCATGCTCCGACACAGCTCTGCAAGGAAATGGATTCGGGAAATGTAATTCTATTAGCTGAAGATAGCGGGGATTCTGACATTCCTGGGATTAGACTGAGAGACATTACCTATGGGAGGGCAGAAAACAAAAATTCGTTATTTTGACAAGCTAACTGCTTGAGAAATCTATGTCTTAGACAAGTCTGTTCGCATTTTGATTTCTCTATTTAAAATGAACCTGTGGGTTGCCCATGCAGGGCCGAGCAACAAGCAAGTGTATGTCTAGGCCAGTGGTTCTCAACCTGTGGGTCGCAAGCCACAGTTGAGGGGGTCGCCATGTGCTGTGCTAGGTAAGAGACTCCTTAGCCTCCTCATAGTGCAGCAGTGTCAGTTCTCCTAGATGGTGCTGCTGCAGCGGCGGCCGGAAGGGATCTGAGAGAGGGAATTGGGCAGGAGTAAGGGGAGGCGAGTGCCACTAGCCACCACCCACTCAGATACTAGTATTGGTGCACCCCTAAATTTTACCATTGGGGGTCACCACATCAATGTTATCAAGGGGTCCCGGCCCTACAAAAGGTTGAGAACCACTGGTCTAGGCAGAACTGGAAAAATCATGCAGTACATTAGACATGTGCATTCGGATTAGGACGAACCTGCAAATCAACGAAATTCAGTTGATTCGGCAGTTAGTCCAAACATGAAACAACAAATGTTTTTATATGCCCAAATAAACTAAAATGATATTCAGGCATACATAAACTTGTTATCAGAACGCGCAATGTGGCCATATTGTTCTGTGCATGGCCGCCACCATCTTGGGGGCGGGTGCATGACGTCACATGACGCCATGTGTGTGCGGCGTAGGGTGACGTTCATTCGCAGAATGAGCGGTGGCCATATTGGCCGCTGGCTTGTTCAGCGCATGCGCTCTGCGTTTTTGAAGTATATCTTGGTATGCACTAAGATGGTGGCGCCCACAGGTTAAGGCACTGCTATCTTGGTGAATATCTTGGTGTACACTAAGATGGCAGGTGCCGCCATCTTGGTGTATACCAAGATATACTCCAAAATGGTGGCACACATGCACAGAACGCGCTGGCGGCCGATACGGCCACCGCTCGACCTGCAGTTGCCCTGTGCGGTCTCGTATTTGGAGGCTCATTGCCTCCGAATCTTAAACAGCATTAAAATGCGTTTCCTTTGACCAAACAAATTAAATTGTTTTTCATTTGTTTCGTCGAGAACTAATTTTTTTTTGCCCTGCACATGTCTACATCTCTGCAACACGTGCACATTTACCCATGTTTTGTCTCTTTAAAGACACTTCAAGTACAGAAAAATACCAGTTGATTCTGTCAAAATTCCAGTGAGCTGTGTTGTGAGAACTGCCCCGTTCTCTACTGCTGGACTACAGAATGCTTTCCCTTTTTGTTAAACTTGTACTTATATAGCACTTTTCCCCTGGGGAGTCAGAGTGCTTAGGAGGTGAGGAAACATCTTGACCAATTAACCTACCAGCATGTCTGTGGATTGTGGGAGGAGACCAAAATGTTCAGAGGAAATCCATGCAAGCACAGGGAGAACATGCAAACTCCATGCAGATAGTGCCCTGGTTGGGATTTGAAGCAAGAAACCTAGTGCTACGAGACATAAGTGCAAAGTCACTGTGAAGGTGGTGGGTGTTGGTGAGGCATCTGGCATATATGTAAACCCGAACACTAAACTTCTCTTATTTGCCCCATTTTTGCCAAAAATATGCCATAGAAAGCTATTTTCTTTCACTGTTCAATAAGTGCAGACAAATGCCTACTGATTTCAGAAATTCAGTGCTGTCCTGGGCCCTGTTCACTCTGCAGTCTCATCTCAAGCAGTTTCATCATCCTTGACCAGTTCACCTCTACACTACAACCCTCCTCCTGTACTGTGCCTGCCCCTCACCTTGTTTCCTGGGTGCCGCTTCCCCACCTGCAGGTCCGGGACCAGCATCTCATGTGGAGGAGAGCACGGCCATTCTCCTTTCTCCTCCCCGATTTATGGGACCGGGAGCTACTTGCATCACTTCCGGTCCCATAGCTGTCATTGCTCGGCTGCTGAGGCAAGGTGAAACTAGGGGTCCTTTGGACCCCTAGTGTCATCTGAAAGAGTACCTGTCTATCACATAGGAGGCTTGTAAGCAATTTAAGAAAAAAAGTTTTAAAAGTTATTACATTAAATAAACGTAAAAATAATAAAACATTTTTTTAAAGTCCCTCGCCCATACGAACATGTGCGCTTTCATGTAAGCACATGTTGGGTACGCCTATGTAAGAAAACAACGATCAACGCAAGTTGGGTATCGCCGCCCGTGCCAACAATAATTCTAGGGTCAATATTTATGCATATCTCTAAACTAGGGTACTGAAATTTGTCGCTGTTTCATGGAGGCACACAATTTTTAAACTGGGCATGTTGGGTATCTAATTACTCCCCATAAGCTCATCTTTTAAGCTCATCTTTCTGAGGTCTCCTGATCAGTGGCTCCCCTCTTGTTGTCCTGCTCCCCAGGGTTTGCCCCGTTGTCTCCGGTGTGTACCTTTATTTGTATTAGTTAGGCTTTTATATGTTACCTGCGGGTGTTGGTGGGGGTCCTTATGGTTGTGGTGTTTTTGGAGCACCTAATAAACTATAGTTCATAAGCATTGTTCAGTGTAGTTACGTATTTGGTTCTCCTGTATAGATACCTGCACGTGGTGTGGGGACACCCTTGCATGGTATCGTGACAGGGGCCCTATGTACTTGTATCCAATGCCTTCTATACTATTTTTTTCTTTTTTCCTTTTACAGTTAATGGGGCAGGTCTTGCCATGGCCACCTGCGACATCATTGACCTTTATGGAGGAAAGCCTGCAAATTTCCTGGACCTTGGAGGTGGAGTGAAGGAGTCTCAGGTCTACCAAGCCTTTAAGCTGCTGACTGCAGACCCCAGGGTAATCTTATGTTTCTAATTATTTCCAGTGTTAAAAGGAAACACACCAATATCATGCAACGTAAGAATTTGCAACTGCCACTACTTTATTATACAGGGTCTTTGCTTTCAACAAATATATGTTTGGGGGTTTTAGGTAATTTTTTGGCTTAAAATGTGGATTATAACGTGTGCAAAAATGGCCTTGGCAGCGAAAGGGTTAAATCAGCCCTGTATGCGTGTGCAATAGGGACCTTAGATTGTGAGCTCCTTGAGGGCAGGGACTGATGTGAATGTTCTGTATGTAAAGCTCTGCATAAATTGTCAGTGCTACATAAATACCTATAATAAAGTAGAAGGCCCCAGTCACATGACCTGCAAAGACAGTGATCTCTGAGCGCTCTCTGCAGAGCCATGCAGCAAACATTCCATAGAACATGGCGGGATTCACACTGTGGCCTGCAATTTTTTAATAACTTGTAAAAATCAGGAACAGTATGGCAGGAACACTGCCTTGTTGTTGTGTAGTTTAAGCCAACGGGAATTATCTCCCCTCATCTGTTTACTTTGTAAGCCAAATAAGTATTAGTGAAGTTGTAGCCATGTTTGAAAATCTGTAACTTAAAATAAGTCAGAGCGATAGAAATAATGGAATTCGCTGCAATAAAGGCAAACACGAAATCAGATGAGCAACCTTCAGCTTTTACAGATAAAAACTCAATTTATAACAGGATGCAACTGCAGCTCTTAGAAGACGCTGTAAATTCTCCTTTCCTGCATAGATGGCCCGCTAATTAGATTAATGTTTTATTTCTCTTCTAACTTCGCGAGATGATTTATCTGTACAAGATTCATAATCAATTACAGCACACACTGGGACCAATTACTGCCATGATTTTGACTTTTAGGTGCTAGTTTAGCTCTGAGCGGAAAGGAGATGTGCTGAGAGATCTGTTATGAGCTCTGATGCCACTGTTCATATTAGGGCTATTTTTAACATTGTGTCAAAGTGCATTAAAAATAAAATAATAATACTATTTACACAAATTAAATTTTATATCTTCACAGAATGTATTTAAAGTGAACCAGTGCACCTGCCTGAAACTTCACAGATGCACTTGTATAAAGTTGGTGTCTGAGGCTCCTCTGTGCCTATATCAATCCTTATGTCAAACATGGGGAAAAAGGGGGCCAAGGCTTATAGCTTGCCTAGGGTCCCATTCTGCCTTAATCTGTCTCCGGGAGTAGCCACAACAGGGCAAAGACATGCAGCCATGTTAAACAAAAAAATGTTGTCATCACATCTGAAGGTACTTAAAGTTGGATGCCTTCCAAGATGCCCCTAGCTTCTACTTATCTGATAGCTACATTTCCATCAAAGCTGGTTCAAGGTTGTTTCCTTTTAACACTGGAAATAATTAGAAACATAAGATTACCCTGGGGTCTGCAGTCAGCAGCTTAAAGGCTTGGTAGACCTGAGACTCCTTCACTCCACCTCCAAGGTCCAGGAAATTTGCAGGCTTTCCTCCATAAAGGTCAATGATGTCGCAGGTGGCCATGGCAAGACCTGCCCCATTAACTGTAAAAGGAAAAAAGAAAAAAATAGTATAGAAGGCATTGGATACAAGTACATAGGGCCCCTGTCACGATACCATGCAAGGGTGTCCCCACACCACGTGCAGGTATCTATACAGGAGAACCAAATACGTAACTACACTGAACAATGCTTATGAACTATAGTTTATTAGGTGCTCCAAAAACACCACAACCATAAGGACCCCCACCAACACCCGCAGGTAACATATAAAAGCCTAACTAATACAAATAAAGGTACACACCGGAGACAACGGGGCAAACCCTGGGGAGCAGGACAACAAGAGGGGAGCCACTGATCAGGAGACCTCAGAAAGATGAGCTTAAAAGATGAGCTTATGGGGAACACCTGGTTCCAGCGTCACAGTGCCAGCTGGAGGTGCTCAGGTCACCTAGGGACCCCCAGAGAAGCTGATGAAGCAGAGATCGGCTTCATCAGCTTCTCTATCTGGAGAGTGACACTGAATGCAGGAAGTGATGTATTATACATCACTACCCCGTAGCCCTGTAGCCAATGCTTCTTAAAAATGACAGATGCCTTCTAACTTTTCAGTTTTTCTCTAGTCTAGTCGAGCTGGAAACGTATCTGTATTTGTACCAAGTATGGTACTAGGTATCTGTGCATCTCTAGTTTCAGCTGATGTGTCTGAGTTAGTTTAGAGATGTAAATGTGAAGTAGCGGAAAAAAAAAAAGAAAGAAAGAAAAAAAAAAAGGACAAGATTGAGAGGAGAAAAAAAACCCACCTAAAAATGCATCTTCTCAGCTGCAGCAACTATCTAAATAGCCACTAAATAGCAATTAGATTTAACGCTGGAGACTTCCCTTCCAATTTACTTATTTAGAGTTTATTGATAGGTGTATCTGCTCCCGCTCACAGTGGCTGCCATTCTAAGCCATTTGATGTGTACTTCAAACCTAGGCAGTATAAAGTGATGGGCAGATGGTTCTCTAGGTATGCTTTACAAGAGGCGTTCTGAGCGCACTCCAGACTCACTGGCTGTTTTTACAACTGCATGATGATTGAGAAACTCTGTTTATGATTCATGCTTAGGAGAGTCATTTGTATGTCCGGAGTGCAGAAATCTGGAATTGGATTTAACCATTTCACATACAAGTTAATTTGCTGTAGCAGTGGAAAACAAAATGATGTTACAAGTGCACCAACCCGCAGTAACTAGGTTTCAGTTACAAAGTCATATTTTTCTGATGGTTTCCTGTGGGGTTACAGCGTTGGTCAAATCACTACAGCTTTTTGTTTTCATTAAAGAAGTCTGAGAACATCTAGCCTTAATTTGTTTTTTTATTTTTACATTATAGGAGTTTTCAACACTCAACAAGGAAATTTAAATTTTGGTCCCCGAACGCCGACTTGCTCAGCCCTTGTTACCCAAAACTCTTTCTTTAGGGTTCCAAGCCTGAGATGGGTTGTGCTCAACAATCCGAGCATCTGAAAGCACTTGGGCATCCACAGTAGCCCCTTTTTATTAAAGTAATCCTTATGGAGAGAAACACAGATACCGTCACTGCTAACCTTCTTGTGCAAATGCTATTAGTTGTGTTGTCTCTGTTCTTAGCCACTGAGCTAAAGTAAGTGTGCAGCAAGTAAAGTCAGAACCAGTCTGATCTGTATTCTGTTTTTTTTTTTTACTTTAAGAACTCCAGACAAAAAAGTGTTTTGAACCCATGCAGTAGGACTACCCCCGCACTGCAAGGGTTAAATGCTCGTTTTTGTCTAAGTGCAAAAAAAAAAAAAACCCCATTATACTCACCCGAACCATTGAGCTGGCTGCCTGCTTCTCCAGTCACAGAAAACATCTCGGCCTACAGTGCAGCATTTTAATGTTTCTCAGCATCCTCACATCTATACACTATGTATAGAACATGATGATTTATGGGACCTTAAGGTGCCCACACACCTTACAATTTATCTGCAGATTTTCTGTGGTCAGATGGAAAAAGTGCAACAGATTGGCCCGGGTGGAGATTACTCCATCCACACAGTTTAATGTAGATGGAGGAATCTGTTGCACCTTTTCCATCTGACCACAGAAAATCTGCAGATAAATTGCAAGGTGCATGGCCAGCTTTAGACCGCTGCAGCAAAGGGGGAGGATGGGCTGGAAGGACTAGTCTAAGAGCAAGCAGGCTCAGAGGATCAGGCAAGTATAACTTTTTGTTTCAAAACAAAAATAAGCAGTTAATGCTTGCAGTGCGGAGAAAGCCTCGATGCAAGGGTTAATCAAAATTATGCCCGCAGTTCTGCTTTAAAGTAGGACACTAGATCAGTATGCCTCGGTGCGGGGTTGGAGGCTTTGAACCTTCCATATGACCGTGGTCTGGTTTTAGGAGGCTCTGAACCTCCCATGTGACCGTGGTCTGGTTTTAGGAGGCTCTGAACCTCCCATGTGATCGTGGTCTGGTTTTAGGAGGCAATATATGTCCTATGTAGCTTAGAAGGCTGTTGGTTTAGTATGATGTTGAAGTAAGATAGTACTACAGGTACATATAAGCAGAACGTGCAGGCTGCTAATCCAATTAGATACCATAGATGAGAAATATTGTAATAGCGGTACATTATTCAATTAAAAGGACAGCAGCAAACAAGTTTCAAGAATACAAGAACTCTCTTGATGATAAAATTAACAACTCAGATGTACACAAATAATGGACACACTTATAAATTAAAATATTAAAGTGCATCTCCGAGCAAATAAAAACAAAACAGAAGCACATATCTGCACATTTCTCCATGTTTTATCACTTTAAAAATGCTGTGAATACATAAAAATACCTGCCAAGCAGCCACAAGTCCAGCGTGCTTCTTCCCGTTTTGGCTTTTAAAAATAGCACCTTTGCTGCCCTGAAATCCCAATCAGTTTGATCATTCCTGCCTGTTGAACTTCAGAACTCTACCTATCCTTCACCCATCTCTGTCCCTGTTCCACATGCACACATTGATTTCTTTAACTGGAAAACAATGTTGTGGTCTTGATTTCCAAGGACTTTTGGGAGAAGTAGTTGTAGGGGCCTGTCTATGTTAATACAAGATGACCTCCCAGCAGCTGTCCCTAGAAAGAATTTTATAATCCTTGTGATGATGTCAGTGGGAGTGATAAATGGTGTTTCTCCCAACAGGAATAAGGTAAAAGAAGCAAATAAGGCTGGGACATGTCCTAGAGGGGAGTAGGAGGTAATATTTGGGTAATACATGGACATATTAAAAATAATAAAAGAACCACCGGTGAACGTATTTGTTACAAATTCTGTACAAATGTAAACTGCTCAGCATGACAGCCAAGTTGATGCCATTATTATCTCTCCATTCCTTGCCGCCCTTCTCTCCTGTTACCTCTACCTGTATGGTCACCAGAGATGACCTTACCATTTCCCGACATGTGCCCACTCTCTCAAGCCTAGCTGAAAATTGAAAAAACTGTGCAGTGGTTCGCTATTGTCCCCACATCTCTTATGTTAAATAATCCATTATGTACCACATTCAAAGTAAATTATTACCAGCATAGATAATACTGTTAATAAGGGCTAGACAAGAGAACAATGCAAACACGGGGCATCCATTTTTTGATAGCTACAATGACAGAATCAGGCTGTTCCTGTTAAACAAAAGCCATATGTAATGAACAATCACTTGATACAATAGATCTGTTACAATACTTCTGTTCTTACCGAAGCAAGCAATGTTCCCATCCATACCGATGTACTTCAAGTCGTACTTGGCCGCCTCGCTCTCAATGGGATCCGTTTCAGACGTGTCATCCATTGCAAAAACCTCCTTTTGTCTGAATTCCGCATTGTCGTCAAAGTTAATTTTTGCATCAAAGCACACAACTGCAGTGATAGAAAGACAGAGGGAAAGAGAATGCATTTAAAAAAAAAAGAATAAATTTTTTTAAAAAGTTACCAAATACCATTTCAATGTATATCTTTTTTTCCCCCAAAGTGAATACAAAAGATATGAAACAGATCTTATGTGTTATGCTGGCATAAACATCTATTATCCAGGGAACAAAAACTCGTGGGTGAACTTTAATAAAATTAAATTAAAACTAAGACATTTCTTCCCATTGTTTTAATGCTTCATTATTCTGAGACGCTAATTAGGTTTACATGGAAAAAACAAGAAACAAGATGAAAAATTAGGATATTGGAATTGTTATTGAAAAAAAAAAAAAAAAAGTTGCTGA